CTCCCTCGCCCGTAATAAAATACCATATTTCCACCGTGGGTCGACTTAGACATTGTCAGTGCTGCGACTCTTAAGAATTCAGTAAAACAGAGTAATTAAAAAATAAATACTTAACAAATACCAAAAATGTTCAAATTCATTTCAGCCACACGTTGGGTCATCTAGAACACGTATACAGGGTGATTCGTTAAGCAAAAAAACACTAATTTTCTCTTAAAATAATTGCAATTTTTTAGTTTTTCTTTTTGCAGACACTGTTCAAATTTTTATCCTGTTTATTTTCTTCTAGGACTCTCGTCTCTTTCTAAGATTTAAATGATAATGTATTATATAATTAATTACTTTTTTAAATCAAGATTAAATTTCTGAAAATGTTACAAACATTTTAAAAGGTTAATTTAGAAATTAAATTAACTATATATATATATATCGTTAAAGTTGTTCTGGAGAACACAAAAAAAAAAATGTATTTAGTAATTTTGTATTGTTGTAAAATAACATATACAAAAATGTTTTCAAAAAGAAACACTAAATAAAACTTGCAATTATTTTAAGTGATATTTAGTGTCTTGTCGTTAACGGATCGCCACATGAGAAGTTTTTTTAATGATTGACCCTTTTAGATTGGGGGGGGGGGGGTCGCGTTATTAATTCCTCTTGAATTTGTTCTCGACAATCACTCATGGCGTACAAGCTTGCCCAAACTACATAACTGAAATTAACGACGTTGTTAAAACTTGAAACTTATCCACACCAGTCGACGAGAGCCTATATACAATCTATATAGAGCTCACTTTTGTCGAACCAATAATAATAGTTGCAATGCAGGTTAACGCTTTTAACTGCCTATCTAGATAGTAGTAAAGAATTTTCTTTTCTTTTTTATTGATAATAAGGTTCATTAGCCCGTGAACGATTTAAGTAATTGCCCAAACTGACTATTTATCTAACTATACTATATAACTTTAGTACTTAGCACGGCCGTTTAGGAAATCAAACTTGACCGGGTGAGAAATGACCGACATATTAATGTTAAGAAATAACAGACAAACGGTTGAATCGGTAAAGAACAATTTAGAACAATTTTCTCAAGTATCTACCTAACGTGTTCTTATTTTTTTTTTTATTTAACACCTACCGGGGGTGGAACAGACGTTTCCCCAGCCACAATACATTATAGTATATGAGCCGAGCCGACGCCGAAATTAGACGAAAATTATACGGCACGACGAACGCGACCGCGAGCTCTCCGGTTTCTCCTGTATGTTAAATATACCTAAATATATATATAAATGTGTATTCATCACACACATGATAGGAGGCTCTAAAAACCCAAGGCGCCCATAAATCAGTTGAGCCTGAGCCCGGAGCAGCCGGAGGAAAGCATATTATACGGCGTTGGAAAGGTTAAAAAGACACACACATTTTCATAGTAGAAAAACCAACATGTGCACCATATAATATTATACACACACACACACACAGCAGCAGCATACGATTTTTATCCCCGAACGGCGTTGTACCTATCTAGTATTGCTTGCACGTTTGGTATGTGTATATTTTCTATATAATATAGTGAATTATGTAATAATCATAATAATATGCGCCGCCCGAGACACGCGAGACCGGGGAAGCCGTTTTTGAACCTCCCCGTTGACCTCTCTCGCGGGCCAAAAAATATGTATATATATGTGTCTACTGTATTGTACGCATTACACGCTATGTGCGCGCCTATATATATATATATATATACCTAACCGAAGGGGCATCAGAGACTCGTGCGGCAAAAAAAAAAAAATAATAATAAACGACGACGGGGGAAAAAAGCAAAACGTGAAAAAAATGCATACATATATTATATAAAATAAATGCCCGTGTGCGTGAATAGGGGTGAAAAAAAAACGGCTATACGTTGCACCCCACGGAAAAGAAAACGCGTATAAAAAAAAAAAAAAGAAAAAAACCGTTTTCTATGTTATTACAACCGACGAGGGTTAAACAACGCCGGCACACGCGCTTTTTTGTGAAACGCTCGCACGCGCTCCATTCACCACCGTCGGCCCCAAGTGGATTTAATATTATTATTGTATTTTTCTCCAGCACATCCCGGCTGAACGAAGGGGGAAAAAGTGGGTTTTTTTTTTCCTACTGTTTTTTGTGCACGCTCTGACGGCGCACGAGCTCCAGACAAAATGTTATTGGCCGCCCTTACGGCCATTTTTCACGGACTAGGTGTTTTTTTAACGTTAAAAAAAAAAAAGTAAACGCGTTCCCCCCTCGGTTTAACCCATTTGCGCACCGACGACCGGAACCGACGACGCCATTTTTGCCGAAAGCCTCGGTTTTTTATGAACGGTTTTTTATTTATCCGGCTAAAAAAAATCGCTCCCCGCTTCGGGCGCGCGCGCCAATCGCGTTGCGCTGCACCCGGGTAAAATATGGTGATTGCATTGGGGTTTATAAAAAAAAACCAAATACATAACCACCGCCGAGAGTTTTCCGGAAAAATCTAAAATAAAAATAGAAGTACGCATATAATATTATCACGCCACCGAAGCGTCTTCCGTTTGACGTTTACTATGGCACAGAATAAAAATGTTTTAGGTTTTTTAAAGTTTAAAATGTATGGATGCAAAGTGGTATGGTTAATCCGTTTTATAAATTCCTAAAATTTGAGTTTCATACAAAAATTAAACATAATATGTTTATTTTACTTGTATAGTTGGTTTAGTCGTGGCTTAATACAAATAAAATAAGCAAACATACAATTAGTTATTCGACTTCTCTTATAATATGTAAAGTATACCTGTATGAAATAAAGTAAACTTAATATTGAGGGAAAAATGAAAATGTATTTTTGTACTATGTAAACTTTAACTACATGACTATTGCTTATAGGTATTAGAAGTTAATTTTTTTCCGCTACTGACATAAAAAAAAGCCATGAAAATTGTTATAGCGTTATTGTATACTTGCTCGGATAATGTACATTGTTTTATTAAATATAACCGCGGCGGTTATTTTGTCTACTCTACAAATAGATAGAACATAACATAAAATAAAAAAACTTATTGTTTCATAATATTCCCGCAGTTATCTCTCGCGAATTTATCTGCCACTAAATAAACTAGTTGATTATAGTAAATTTATTAGTAAACTGTTATTATTTTAATATTGGGGAAAAATTCAAGATTTTATAATACATTATTATTAGATTTTTTATCCATTATTGCTGATCGGGTTGCGACTCGTGACGGTTTTTTACTGATAGTACGGGGCAGCTTAACAAAAAACAAAAACTCCTATAATATATGCTTAAGTATACTGTATATATATATACATATACTATATACTAAAGATTTTTTTCGTTTTTTTTGCCTTAAAAATATTTGCCTTTCGTCCTTCCTGTCGTCCTGCTCCCTTTTAGCATCGGTATATAGCACCGTCTACGGGCAATGTACGACAAACTGGCACAACAATCGAAAAAGGTAAAAATGCGCGAAACGCCCACTTCTATTTTTCGAAACCCTTCAACTCGAAAAATCAGTTTATTTACTTCTGTGCGGGTTCATAATATAATCCCATAACGACACTGTCGCGCAGGTAGTGCAGATAATAATAATAATAACATTAACCGAGACCACAGCAGTCCGTCTCGAATCAGAAAAAAATGTATTAAAAAAATCCCATTAACAAAAAAACTATTAATTAAATAAACAGCTATACACATCAACGATTCTGGTCTGGTCTAAACAACTATATAGGCGGCGCCTGAATATTGTCTCACACCAACCGCAGTGACTGCGCGGCGCCGCCTTCTTATTTATCACAATCATTGTTGTTAAATATTATATTTCTTGAAAAGTTCCCTCTAGATTTTTTTTTAAACCAACGTTCATTGTTTAAAAAAAAACCCCATTTAGTAAAACCTCAGGCGATTATTTTACGAGAACAAAGGTGGCACAATTTCGGTAGTTAGGTATGCAATGTATTATTTTCGCTTTTACACGATTAATAAAATAACTATTATTGGTAAAAACAATCGTTTATTCTCCTTTCGAAACAAATTTATAATATTATTATTCGTATTGATATATTTTCACAATGTAATTATTAGGTATTCAACATTGGCACATATTCTCTATATATATATATAAATAGTATATTACAATACATATACAGGTAGGTGTATTTTGTCTAAATATAAGATGAACGAAAACAACAAAAAAAAAATGAAGAAGAAAAAACCATTTAAGAAGAGTTTACCTAATTTTAAGGTATATATAATATATATATATATATTTACACTTAAGAGTTTTTAAAGTATATAATAAATTATTGTGTATAATATACCTATATGTATTTATACACTTTATTTACACAACTAATATAGATCAAGTGTGAAAAAAAAACATAGTTATTATTCAAATGTTATAATAGAGCGCTGTACGCGGAGATCAATTCTTAAATAGAAAATAATAATAACTAATGACGATTATTATTAATATTATTAAATCAGATTTTTTACAATTAAAATATAGGTACAACACACGGTATTATAATTATTTATATATGTAGATATTATATTCACTCGCAGCGATGAAGATTAAAATTAAAATGTTTTTTTTTTATTTAACTAACCGTTTATCGTTTGTACTCGGCGGTAAAAAATAATAATACTTTCGATATCGTTCGAGATATTGTCGTTAGTCGTTTTTAGGTAAAACTGTTCAGCTATCATATTTTTTACCTACATATTAAGATGTAGAACAAGGATACACAAATTATTTTATACACCCATAGACCTAGTTAGACCCTTTACAGAGTAATTAAATTAAATGCCACCGCGGTTCTGAGATTGACTAGACATATTTTTATAAATAAACTGGATAAACCTCATAGATAAAACAATCCTGTGTTCCAAATGTATAATATATTGTTATTAATTAAAATAATAAAATAAAAAACGCCGAAAGTCGTAAGGATCGTTGATATATTATAATTATTATTATTTATTTACAAAATACATTCAAGCACCGCGACGATAAACAAAAAAAAAATAAAATACATATGTATGTCATTAATACTTTTTTCGGACTTGATTATTTTACAATTAAAATTAAAATAAACTAAAAAACCATCACTCGTGTATATATTTGTATAATATATATGTATATATAATTATACAATGTACACCGCGAGGGAAAACAAAAATGAGTTTCTTTTTCACTTTGCTTGTAAAAATATTATATTAGTTAGCAATTTTAACCAGCCCACACAATCGATGCCGTCGCCAAACAACAACAACCTTAATGTTATCACAAAATATAATATAGGTACGAACACGACAAAAAAAAACCAAAATATTATTTTTATACGCTTAAAAAAAAACAAATTTTATAATACTTTTTACCAATTTATATATGTATATATAGTATAACCTAAGTTTATAAAGAAGTAGAGAGCAAGAGAACGAGAGATAGATAGATAGATAGAGAGAGATAATATAAGCGATAACGGTCAGCGTACATAATATTATAATAATAATAATAAAAATAATAATAATAATGGAGACTAGATTGTTTATAAAAAAAAAAAAGGTCATAATAATATTATAATCTAAATAATGTACAAGAAAAAACGGCGACGAGATAAAAAATTGATACGTGTAACTTAAATTATTGAGAACATGTATATAATTTTTATTAAAATCTGTTAAATTCGACCCGTCGACCGGACCGAAAGGGAAATACAAAACAATCAAACGCGTTTGTGTGTACCTACCCACTTTTTTCTACGATGAAAACGTAAAAAAAATTAAAATAAACAAACAAAAACCGCTGAAACAAAAAAAAAAAATTGCATTTCGCTCGTGAGGCTTTGTTCGGGTCAAAACGTTGGTTCATAATCGCTGTGAGGTGGTTTTATTTTATTATTATAATTTTGGCAATCGACTCTGAAACGTTAACAGCAGAGGCTTAACATTTCAGAGTCGACACAACGACCGTCGGGGTCGTGAAAATCGCATTTCCGATATACTCGAGCGGAAGATGCGATTCTCACGACACCGAAACGATTAATTGTCAATAAAATAATAATAAAAAAAAACATAACTTAAACACGGTAAGTATAGGCAAGAGGCGGTCTTTGGGAGAGTAACGGTATTTATGTTTTCTTTATACAATAAATCCTATACTATACAACGCGCGCAATGTCTCGGAGGCGAGAAGACTTATTTACATTTTATTTTATACAAGTTTTTTTAAAAACATTTTTTTTTTTTTCATTTTGTACTATATTATTTATCTCTTAGCCGCCGTCGACGTCGAGGGCCGCCTAACTGTGCGGCACTCGAGCAATGTGAGCGAAGAACGAAAACTTGTCGGCAGTGATCTCGCCGCATAGGTTACAAGCGAACGGGTCCCGGAAACTGTGGAAACCCATGTGCATCGAGTACATGATGCTCTCCTTGAAGATAATGTCGCAGTGGTGGCACAAGTGGGTGCCGTCCTCTTTGTCGGCGGCCGGTTCGTCCTTCATTACCACTTCGTCCTGCGGCTCGGGCGTTTTAGCCTGCACGGGTTCCAGGGCCCTGGCCGGCTCCGGTCTCTCCAGCTTGCACGCTATGCCCTTGCGCCTGCTGCTGCCGGCCGCTCGCGGCGTCACCGAGTCTTTGCTCAGGTTCAACGGGCCCTGCGTGTCCGCAGTGATGGCCGTGGCGACGACGGCAATGGGCTGGGCGGGGTGCGGTTCCGCCGGTTCGGGCGTCCTGTCGCCACCGCTGACGGCCAAATCAACTTTGACCAGGTCCTGCGGACACTGAATGTCCATCTTGTCGTCCACCGCTGTCGTGTTGTTGTTATTCTTGATGGCCAAGTACTCGGCCTGGTAGTCGGCGATCTCCATGGTGCGCTTGGTGATCATCGAATACATGAACGACTCGGCGGCCGTCGAGTACTGCATCGAAGCGCCGGTCGTGGGTATCTGCAGTAGTTGTTGCATCGAGTACGGCGACGGGTGGCTGTCGTCCGAGTGGATCACGGCCGACTGGTGGTGGTGATGGTGATGTTGCTGCTGCTGCTGTTGCTGATGCTGATGCTGGTGGTACGGGTTGTGTCGACTATGCTTTTTGTTCTGACGAGGACCGCGGCGGTTGCCCACCACGTCGATCACGATGTCCGGATTGGGCGTGCCGTCCGGGTTGAGCGGCGTGGCCGGCCGGTGATCGCGCTTCTTCAGGTGCTGTTTGAGACTGTGCATGTACTTGGAAGCGTACCCGCAGTCGTAACACTGGAACTGGAACACGTTGGAGTGCGACTTGAGATGAGACTGGAGCATGGACTTGCTGACGCACTTGTAGTCGCAGTCGGGGCACGTGAACGGCTTGGCGCCCGTATGGTTGAGCAAGTGGTACTCATAGTGGTGTTTCAGGTCGGTGGCAAACTCGCAGTTCGGGCACTCGAGCAACTGTTCCGGCTTGATGTGAGTGCGGATGTGTTTCCAGTACTGAACTTTCTCCGTGCACTCCAGGCCGCAGTGCTTGCACTTGTGTTTCTTGGGTTTCTGTTCCTTGTTGTTATTGTTGATGTTGTTGTTGTTGTTACCGGCGCCGGAGCCCATTCCGCCGGACGGCTTGGGAATTTTCAAGTCGAAGTCCTCGCATCCCGACAGGTCCCGGTAAATGGACGTCGGCGAGCTGGCCGTGCTCCGGCCTTCGGAGTCGTCTTGGTGGTGCAGGTCTGCGGCCACCGTCTGATGATGGTGTAGGTGATGGTGGTGATCCATAGCGGGCCGGGCCAGGTCGTACGGCGAGTGGCTCATGATCGGCTGGTGTTCGTTTTCCAAAAACATTTTTACTTTCTGCGAACACGAGAGAGAAAAATTGTTGTAAATAAAAAAAAAATAAAAAAATAATATTAAGTATTTTCGTTGGGTATTTTATAGGACGACGAGCGCCGAACGGTTGCATTGTTGGGAGATAAAACGAGTTAAAATGTGTGCGAGCTAGTGGGTAATATAATAACGTCGGATTGATTTTTAAAGGAGGCGAGGGAGAAAAAGGACGGTGATGAAACAAAAAAAAAAAGGAAAAAAGGAGAAAAAAAAGGGAAAAAAGCCCGGGTGGATTTTAGGGCGCATGTCGTCGAGGTTGGCCGCCACCGCTGCCGCCGCACACGGAGAGAAGCGATGATTGCCGGTATTGATTGGACCGGGGGCGCAGTGTGAGAAAGAAGGCCGAGCGAGCGGGTAAAAAATCGTTTTCGCCGCGAGGGTCGAGTTTTTCATTTTTGTTTTCGCCACCGCCGCCGAGTGTGGAAGAAACTTGAGGGGGCGGCGGTATGCAGAGGCGAGCGTCAGGGGTGGAAGAGGAAAAATGGCCGACCCGTTCCCTGGACAAAACAAAAAGCCATAAAATAAATGCCTCTTCGAGCACGGGGCCTTTTTCTAATGAATAAGACGAGGAGGAGAAGAGAGAGTGAGGAGACGTATATATACTTTTTTTCCATCCCCTTCAACTCTGCCCCTCCGGCATCGGCTGTACTTCTTATATTTTTCTCCGAAAGCGCGATCCGCGTGCGTGCGGTTTTCGAGAAAATGGTTTTCGTTTTGGGGGATGAAAAAGCACGCCGGGGGTGGGAAAAAACAAAATAAAAACCCGAGTACAGACCGGAGAGAATATTGAACGTTATTTTTACGACTTGTATTTATATTTTAGAACATTGTGGACGGAAAATCGAAATCTCCACCGCGTTCATACCGAATATGGTAAATACACAGCTTTGAAAAATGTGCATAATGTGTGAAATTGGGTAGTAGGACGATTGTCGGCAATTCTCATAGACGATAATAATAATTATTAATAAAATCATTTTGTTGAAAATAAACGCTGTCTGTCTTAGCACTGTAAGTAAAAACAGCATCGCGGTCATCCAAAGTGTGGCCTTTGGAGTGATGAGGACCAAAAGGGTTCTTACATACGGTATGTGCAAATGAAACATTTTGTACATTACGATATTAACAATTTATTAATTTTAGAAATATCGATAACATTGACCGTAACATAAAAATGTTATTTTTTTTTTCTCTAAAAATCACTCCTAATCTTTCTTATTGCGTTCCCATCACTTCAATGTAATACCAAAAAAATGCTAAACCATAAATAACAAAATTAAATAAAAATGCCTGTCGCATTCTTGTCTACGCATATATATATATTTACAAGGTACATGACAGTATCATTATCTTTATTATTATAATACGAAATGTATGCATAAATAGTATTATGAAGCGCTGTGGGGGGTGACATAATATATCTATAATAATTTTATCGGTTGATTGGGTCGATGCGTGATCACAGCGCTATTTACTTGCTATCATTTATTGTAATAACGATGGCTTTGCGGTGGAAAAAAAAGTAGGTATAGTTTTGATTTTTTTATTATACAAGTCTAGAGGCCGACGATTGGTTTTATCGGCGAAACTCATATTTTTAAACGAAACGTCCGTGACGGTAATAATAATAATTGACCAGATATTACGCACATATATGTACATACACATTATGTTAACCGGTAAAAACACGGACGGAAAAAAAACGGTACTTGGGCCCAATTACCGATACACCTAATAATAATGTTGTTATTATCAATGTTTTCATTGATATTAAATAGAGCCAAAAAAGCCGGCGATACGGGCCCAGGGAAATTTCGTAATTATTAAAAATACTTTATTCCGCCGCGGCGGGTTTTAATTATTATTGTACCAAAGTGATTTATCGCATCTGAAAGTTCAGAGGACAATACAATTATTAGGTACAATATAACATTATGCCGAGACAGATAAACGATAAACGCCGTAATTGGCCGGATTGTGTACGTGTGTTTAATTTGATCTATCATCATTCATCATTATAATATACACCGGTAAATCCGTCGGACACACACACTCACCCTGTCCAAAAGAATTAACGGTATCACATATACCGTGTGTGTGAATATAATTTATGGCACACAAAGGTAAGACAAAAAAAAATTTTAAAAACCATCCTCGACTCGCGAGGGACGCATTAATGTTATCGTTTTTCAGACGGAATGTCGATAATATTGTAATAAATAATTTGTATATTGAAATATTTCAAAGACACTCACCTTGTATGTTTTTTGTTTTCTTTGCAAATCACAGCTTTTGATGGGTTTTTCGTCAACGATAACGCATTTATTTGAGTGATGGTCTTCAAATGGTCACGACGGCCGACTCTGAACGATTCGAGGGGGTCATTAACATTTCGGAATAAATAGTTTTTTTGAGGAGGGGCAAACAAACAATAATAATTTAAAAAAAAAAAAAAAAAATAATCAAACTTTCCAGCGACGGATCCAACGACCGGAACGTTTGGTTTTTGTTCTTTTTATTTGTTATATTATTATTACTAGTATTTATGTCGAAATGTTTATGTCGTCGCTACGCGGACGGGTGATAACAAACAAGAGTTGTACTCAAACAAACAAATACACACACACACAAACACAAACACAGAGAGAGCGATAGAGAGTGCACGTGATCGACGTGGATCGCACGGGTACGTACTGGCGATCACGAACGCTACGTGGACCGGTCTGTTGACGGCGATTATCGCAGGTTCATCTGGTGCGGCCGTCCGGCTCGGCGGCTAACCTACCCCAACGGACCGGCGTATCCCCACCGCCACCGCCGCCGCCGCCGCCGCCACCACCTCCAAAACGCGGCCCATACACACGCCCACCGTTCTGCGCTTGTGTGTAAGCCGCAGCCGCCGCCGATACCTATATTTTTTGTTTTTTTTTTATTCCCGTTCCTTTTGATTTTTCCTCACCATCGCGTCGCAAACGAAAGGATTGGGCCGGCCCAGCGTATAGCTGCGGTTATTGGATTGTTTTTTTTTTACCGTCTGTCGTTATAAAAACGCATCGAACCGGGACGACGCATAGTGAATTGGGACAAACGTGAAAAAAATCACATCAAATTGTTCCTAAAAACTGATAAATAATGAGCGGGTTTTTATTTAAGTTTTAACACATTTACAACATAAATGTGGACAAATTGTCCGCTACAGAATTCGTAGAAAAAAATTGTTTTTGCATAATTCAGAATAAATAAATATTGCATAATTGTCTATAAAAATCAAAATAGGAATTATAATAATTTCTCTAGTTGTTTTTTGCTACATAAAATAAAAAATGATACCTTTACAAAATGTTCAATAACGTCATGTATTCAAATGTTGATCCGTCTACAGTTGATACTCTATCTAAGTATACATAACTTCTACAGCTATATTTCAATTAAATCTGTTCTCAATGACTGTAATCACAAAATATGCATGATATATGATAAAACATTTATATTACATATGCTTTATGCAGCGCTGCGGAGGTGAAAATGGATATTGATCAGGTTTAAGCATTTTTTTTTAAGACTATTTTATCAATGTTTAATAAAAATATTTTTAAATTTTGTCAGTGCATATTAGCATAATATTTTGAACTTCTTTAAAATCTAAAAATTTGCAAAACTCTAATTAAAATTGTTAGTTTAACGATCAAAGCCCCTATTGTGCCACACGGCAGAGACGTGCATGAAACTATCATAATATGCCGCTCTTGCCGAGATAACTAAAGAACATTTTTATAGGAAAAAAATCTCAGCCACTTTAGAACCGAGCAAGTGCTATCGCAAAATTCCGGACCTGACCGCGTGCTCATGTGTGGTATTTCTGGGGAATTTTTTAAAGTCTAAACACAACACATACATATTTTCAGCAGATCCGTATAATATTATGTAAACTGAAGAAAAAAAATATGTCCAGTTTCGGCTTTCGACGAACCGACGAATTCGTTTAAAAATAAAACCTACTGTATCCGTTTGGGGGATAAAAAAACTATACTGTCTAAACACATTATTATTATTATTACTTTCGGTTTTAACGTGAAAAGCTATTAAAAACATTTTTTTGTCCATTAAATTCCATCTAAAACGCGGTCGGCCAGCCTTAAAATATATGTTGCATACTCATTGTCAGTTTTATAAAAGTTTTACCGATTAGGGGGGAAAAATGACCAAAACAGTGTTTTATTAGTACAATTATTTTCTTCGAGTGTAATTTGTACTTTAGGTTGGTCTAAAAACGGGCAAAATATGTGTGATAGGATTATCTTTGCCACTTTGAAGTGTTCACCCACAGATGTGCCACCACTGGCGGCCGAAAGTCAAATCAAAAATAGACCTTCAACAAACCTGTTATTTATCACCCAAAAGCCAAAATATTTTTTTATATAAAATGCCTTCGAAATTTACTTGTACGTTTTAACGATAAAATCAATTTTGTATATACTCGAGCCACGAGTTATCATTTATTATATTTTGATGGCCCGCTTATACCGTTTATACGGATGTTATATCGTTTATCTATTTTTTGTACAATGTCAATGACCTTATTTTTAAAAAATAAATTATTTATAGCATATAATAAATAATATAGGTAAACGGAGCGACACATAACGCAATAGATATATGCGAATCAATGTATAATAGGTATACGTCTAGATCACTTCCTGTAGTAGGATTCATATGGCTTATGTAGAAAATATATTAGTACCGACTACTGTATGACAATACCTATATATATATAGTCAATATTATACTTTTGTACTGAGGACAGAGGTAATAAGACGTCGATAAAAATAGTTTCCGGTCGTTTGGATAATATGCCTCGAGACATTATTACTTTTCGCTCGACCTGAAATTAATTAGTTTCAAATAACGTTTATAAAGTTGGCGCTTAATTGTATATCGTTCGAACGGTTTGGCCAAGCATTAACAATAATAAAAAAAAACCTCTCCCAAAAAAAAAAAATCCTCTAGAAACGAAAGCTTTAAATAAATGTGTAAAACAGGCAATGCAAAAGGATTAGTGTATATTTTTTTTCTCAGACTTTGCACGTTGTACGACTTGTTTAAGATTTATATATATATTATTCGCATGTGTTATTTTCAAACAAATAATGTAAAAATAATATATCGTTGTTTTTTGTCTGCTACTCTGCCGTATCGAAGAAGCATAATCTAAATGTGTAAGCGTTTGTGTAATACAACAAAATGGTCAACAAATTAACCAAAAGATAAAAGATTGCGTTAGTTGTTTCGTTTTAGCACAAAATAAATTTATTTGTGTCTATAAAACCCGTTAAGGAGTATAATATTGCAAGTCGACGCCAATAATTATATTATTGATGACATAATGTAATATTATATAAATATATACAATATACATGTATTGCAGAGATTGTATAATTTTTCCCCCTATTGACCATCGGGTAATGTGTGTAATAAAAATCTAACATAAGAGTATAGAAGACTTATCCTATATAAGACCCAACCTAACTTCTAAAACACATACTAACCGTTACACTGTTGTGGAACAATCGTTTGCACAAGATATTATGTAAGTTGACTTGGTGCGTTCTAAAACCACATTAAAAGTAAGTATTTAGTACCCCTTATGGTTTCTTAGCGCCCGAATTATTTTTTTTATGTACCTACAATAATTGTTTTAACATAAAATTTAACTAACGACTATTGACCGGCCGTGTGATTCATTATGCTTAAAATGTAAGTATAATCGCCATCAGACAGGTATAGGTTATTTTACACAAAAATGAAATTCATGTTTACACTGAAATTGTTATGAACAATTGCGAAATCCGTTTCACACGAACGTTTTCTATTTTTGTTGAAATTAAAACTGAAATTATTTTTACATAATAATTTATATTTATATTCTGGTAAACACCGTTACCAGCGTTCGGTGGCTCTATCTTAATTTTGAGTTTATCGAACTGACCCCTTTCCGTTCAGGCTGTCCCGTGTGCTTTTCACACATAGACCATAGTATACCTACAATATTATGGATTAATTTGTACCGTTAAAATAGGACTCGACTGTGGGAACAGCAACCATCTCGTTTTAATAGTTTAATATAAATATTATTTTAAGCCTTTGATCAACCCTCGGGCGGCCACAACACCCTCGAACATTCGTTTTCACACGAAATTAAACCCCCAGGCATCGATTGTATGTGAGGGCATCATTTAATGTATATATATATATATACACATAATAAATATATAATATATTTATATACACCTATGTATTGACGTCAGTAATTTGCAGTCCTGGTTATTGTGGATTAATAAAAAGAGTTTGTAGAAACTAAATTTTTGCTTTTATTATACTTCAGAGTTATATTGTATTGGGAGGAAAACAAGAATACATTTAGTATCTTTATCTGAAAACTTTTTTTTTCTTTTTGATTAAAAATTTACAATTTTAATTAAGTAGCTTAGGTATACATAGAAAATGCGTGAGAAATACTATTAAAGATACTGTAGAGCTCATTTTTACAAGAAGAGATATACATGTGATTGTAAACCTCTTAGCTTAGCATTGAAGACAAAAGTTTAAAAAAAAGCTAAAAAATAATCTTTTTCCATTTATATTAACCTACCGTGAGAGTATTGTCTATTTGATTTTACTGTGTCAAGTCAAAACGGTGCACCGTTGGGTTTTTACAGAGTTCATTTTTCATATTGTAACTAATCGTTGTATTCTTTAATTGTTATTAAAATTATGTACACCGATTATTTAGCAATCCAACCGAAATATGTTTCATTCAAATATTTCAACTCTAAATGTATTTGTAAAAAAAAAAAAATTACATTAACACATGCATAATAGTAGCAGTCATACTTATAATAGTCCATCACGACTGACGATTGAAAAATAATTTATAAAAATAATAATTATCGTTGTTAATAATATGGTCGTGTAGGTCAATAATTATTGTACCTACCTTTAAATCATTTATAGAACCGGGAAATTCTTGGGACCGAGTGTTTTTAAAAAAAAACCTCATATATATATATTATATTTCTTTATCGCGTATAAATTACCCAAAGTTTTTAATGAGTTATATTACCGAAATAACAATACAGCGTTAATTTGTTTACTCCTATATAATAGGGTTTCCCATTATTATATATGCGAATATTATATTAGCGTTATTCTTGATTGCGCACTTACCGCAGGGACACTAGTCGAACCCGCAGGTATAATAATATTAATATACATAGCTGGTGGTATATAGGAATCGGATTACTATTGTTATTTTATTATGAGCATTTGATTTGAATTTTAATGGCACATAAAACGCTTATTAACCGTAAAAGGTCCGATGCACAGTAGATACCAAGTGCGGTATTAATTATACATAATATTATGGTTACATTGTACAAAATAGTTTTTCCAAAATGTTAACAATACCGTGTTTATTGCATCGGTTTACAAAATAATACAAAATATATTATTGTTATATACAGACGTGGCGGACATATTTTGTTAATAGTTTTGTTATTGATAATTTTGTGCGTGTGTGTGTGTGTGTTGATAATTGCTTCGTCGTGTAACTTTTACAAAAAAAGAAAAAAAAATGTAAATTACCCAACATAAAAATGATGATGAATCGATCAACCACGAATCGTCCGTGTGGTTTATATAGTAATGTCCGTGTTAACAACGCACGGTTAATAAA